GATCTCCGAAGGGTAACAAGTCTTCTTAGCTGGGCAAGTTTGGGTTTGGGGGGTGGGGGACCTCTGGAAGCTATTTCCCTCCGTCCCTTTTCAGATCGCTATTAATAATGGTTAGACGGGGTGGGCAAAAATCAAAGGATACCCTCTCCTAACCCTGAACCAAGTGTGACCTCCGCGGTTTCAGAATGCTCTTGGCTGAGCGCTTTACAACTTACGGATAAAGAAGTCGCCACGAGAATCACCCAGAAGCTGAGCCTTCTTATCAGCGCGAAGATCTTCCCCACCTCCACCCTCGGACTGTCCTCCGGCCGACCCCAGGCACGGGTACCTGGAGGTAGGGGTGAGGTCAGCGAGAGCCTCCGGGCTGGGAAAGCTCAGGGCCCCAACGGTTGGCGCTGGTTCTGCGCCTGTGGGCCCGGGAGTCCTAGATGCGTCTCGTTTGACCGTGTTTTAGTCCGGGTCCCAGTACTATCTCTCCCAGTTCTACCAAGGTCTGACGCGAGCACGTCCTCGAAGGCTGGTGGGAGGGCTGGGAGCCGGAACCCGCGCGGATTTAGGAATTGAGATTCCGGAGATTGCTTGAGTACCGCGGAAACTCCAGGTTAAGTTCCCTCAGACATGTGGTTTACTCGCCGCGAGGAGCTCAGAGGCAAAGGGTTCAATAGTCAAGTTGGTGGGGACTTTCCCTACTTAAAGTAATAATTTGCTAATTCGGATCTATTGCTTTTAAATATCGAGTTCCAGAGACCTCTGTCAATGCAGGCTTAATTTCATCCCACTGATGAAGGATGTTTACAAACGGCTCCTGTGGTGCAAGCCGAGTGTGAAAATATCAGTTTTATGCCTTTTGATAAGAATTACCGAGGTGGAAGGCTTATTAGGCGATTACAAATTTCTCAGCTGCTCGCAGCCCAATTAGTCAGCTCTTCGCGGTGGGTGGAAGCTGTGGGGGTCAGAGCGGGTTGGTGTTCCCTGCTCTCCAGCCCTGGACCTCCAATCAAGCCCTAGGTCTACCAGACCCCTTCCCTGAGCCCCTTGGTTTTAGGAAGACACACCCTGCGCCTCCCAACTCGCTCGGGCGCCTCAAAGCCCGGGACATGATGCACTCCCAAGTCTTTCTGGCTTTCTTAACCCGGCCTTGCAAAGAGCCCTACCGTTCAGGGGTGTTGGTTGGCTGTTGGTTGCCCCCTGGGTGGGCTTGAGGTCTCAGATTTTCATTTAAGGAGAGGTGGCAGTCTAGAAATTTCAAGTTAGTAGGTAGGAACCTCCCGAACCGGGCTATTCCTCTCCCACCTGCAGATATACAGATAATGGGGTTTTTTTTTTTTTTTTGGTCTGTCCTCTTTCATTCAAAATTGATCTCAGTTGGAGTTTGAGCTTAAAACCTGCATTACAAAGACAGAAGAGTCCTTCTGATTTTTAGCACAAGCACCTAATGTAGGAATAGATACTCTCTGCAAAGCATCAGGCAAACTCTTCCATTGCCGGAGCCGGGGAAGAGTGTGGGTAAGAGGTGTGACGCGAGCTCCAAAAAGTTGGGGCAATTTTGCAGAAACAACCCCTTGGTATACTCGCCCTTGGCAAGGGGTCAGAAGGTGGCTGGGCCCAGGACGGGAAGGAAGCTTAGCAAATACCTACATATCCCCTCCTCCTCCCGCCTCCACACACAACCCTCAGCCTCCACCGCGTGGGACGCGGAAATAGACTCACCACCGGGAGGCCTACAGAGCAAGGCTGGGTGCCCATAATTACCCGGCGGGAAGGGTCCACGTCCTGCGCGGAGCCAGGAGTAAAGCGTCAGACAGACCAGTCTTTTAGGTCTTCTTCTTATGTCTGACGACCCTTCATCTTATCTAAGCCCAGAAGCCTCTAAAAATGAACCATTTCCTCCACTTATGCAGAGATAGGAGCTCTTAGATCAAGATTAGTATTTTGAAAACCTGATTGAGAGCCGCCTGATTAGGTGAGGGTGGGTGGGAAGACCGCATAAACGCCCGCGCCCCCGCCCTACTTCCCGAAACAGCTCGAGCGCTCTCCGGATCTCCAAATGACCCGCGCGATTAATTCTCCCGATCTCCAAATGACCCGCGCGATTGATTCTCCCGGATAGTAGCCAAACAGTACCCCAGATTCATTTTGCAGACCCTAACAAATAGAAACTGTAACTAAATCTCCGAACGGACTCTTTATTTTTAATTACACTTTCAGTGCTGCTCTATACACGGCCTGATAGCCAACGTTCTGCACAACTCTTTCCCATTAAGAAGAGCCATCTCGAGACCGACGCTATTTCATGAAAAATGCATTATGTGAATTTTCCCCAAAATGCTAATTTTTGCGCTTGATGAAAAACAAGTGTCTTTCTGCTGTCCAAGACCCGGTTAGTTTTTCGAGAAGTCAGTCAGTTCTCTACACAGATTAATCATAGCGTCCCCCTCCCCCGACTCCGAAAATTTAAGCGAGATCTAGAGAGGATACGCAGGGGGGTAGCTAATATTAACTTGTGCGCAGCTGCGCGTAAAGGAAAACAATGGCGTTAGGAAAAAGCTCTAGGGACAGTCGTGTTTATGGGAGAAAAATGTAACGGAGGAAAAACTAAATTTGCAGTCGTTGATGGTCCCAGGATGTTACTCGGGCTCACCACAGGAAAGTCCACTTAACTATGTCCACTGCCTTTCCTGTAGCATGCTTCTGACAGCTCTGGGAGGGAGCACTTGGATCTTCCTCTTCTAGACAAATAAGGCAAGAAGATAAAATTATATAAAAATAATTGAAGCAACATCACATAATTTTGTTAAAGGCCTTTAGGAAACAGACTCCCAGATTTTCTTATATTACTGTTTCAGAACTTTGCTTTGTTTCTCAAAAAGGGAAAATTGTAAAATAAAAATGTTAGTCTTACCGAATTCAAATTCCTCTTTATACACTACATAATGAAGTAAAATTTATACCATAAAGAAGTTATTTTAACAAACACACCCTCCAATCTTAATCAAAAATAGGGTATTCTGGGACACCCCCACCCCACCCCCTGCAAACCCACAGCCAAAATTTGAGGCAGGAGCTGGTCGCTTCTGGGGCTTAAATTTTGTCTAGGATGAGATGAAAGACCAATGCTATTAGCAACATACTTTTGTCTTTCTTGTAGCCTTGATTTCAAATCTAGTCGCAAAGCATATGCTTTTGTGCTGCTCAGATGTTCCTTCTTTATCTTAATGAGAAAACTTTTCGCAAAGGGAGTGCGAACCGCTAGATAAGACAGCCCCCAGGCTGCCAGGGAGCCGTCGCGGTCCTCAGCTAGACAGGAGAGCTAAGCGTTTCAGGAGAATGACTAAAACATTCAAGTCACCCAGACCTCCGCTTCCCCTTCAGCTTGCTGCAGAAAGAGATGTAACCTGAATCTTTGTTTAGGTTTTGGTTGAGGAGCGAGAATTAAAAAGCCACGGTAAATGCAGAGAGCAGATTTTTTTTTGTCAAAAGTTAACAGGCCATTCCCAATTTTTTTTTCTTCTCTAATACTAAATCTGGAGTAAGTTGGCTTGTCCTGATAAAGATCTTAACTTTCAGAGAAGGCGGGTTTTAAGGAGGTGAGTCTGTTCTTCCAGGAAAAGACTTTCCCCCACACACCCACTCTCTTCCCTCCCTTCATATAAGGTTCCACCCTCTGGAAAACAAAACTTTTTTTTCTTTTCCTTTTCCTAGAGGGACAGACCTCAGTGAAGTTGGGAAAAGAACAGTCCATCAGAGAGTGGTTACGGCCACAGCGGCCTCTTCGGACGAAGACTTACTTGTAGCATTCTGACTCTTCTCGGTGTCAGCTTTTATTAGTGCGTGGGGCGGGGGAGGGGGGCCAGACCGGCAGACACGGACAGCCTCTGACCCTCTGGAGCTGGTATGTGATAAGCAGCCGTAGCAGTGCCATGTATTGGAAAAGCGATCAGATGTTTGTGTGTAAACTAGAAGAAAAGGACGTGCCGGAGCTGGCAGATCCCCCTGAGAAGGTGAGCGACCCGACCGACGCCTAGCCAGACCAGCTGAATCGCAGTTTCCTTGAAACGCGAGCTGTTTGGGCTCCTAAACGAGGTTCAGAAATTACCTGTAACGGCCTCATCTCCAAACCTGGCACTTTTTTTTTTTATTACGTAGTGGCGTTAGTCAGTAATCATTGCCTCCCCTCCCCACAAGCTCACTTAACCTGAGTCATGGAGACTGTAATTTGGGAGACGAAGCCTCGAGCCTAAGGCGCTCTCGGGTACATGTGAGTCGTGCTTTTGTTCTATTTGCGGTGGTGATCCTGGCGGTCGGGAGGTCCAGGGGGCTGTGGGGAGGGACAGAACAGAGGCGCTGCTCCTCTCGCCGGGCAGCCGGCGGACGCTTGCCGGCCCTAAGGAGCTCCTCCAGGCGCAGGGCGATCCGCGCTGTCGCGGCCCCACAGCGAAACAGAAGCAGATGTGGCTCGTGGAAGGCCTCTAAGATACCAGGGCGGGTTAGGAGGGCCATTTTACTTAAAAAACCGAAAGAAACAAACCCTGGGGTTCGCGAGACACGCGAGACATCTAGTCACTTTGAGTAGATGGGGGGAAATTGACAAAACTCTCACCTCGCTCTGGAGGCAGGACCCGTGGGTGTGTCGCGTTTTAGGTTTGAAAATCATCTGCAGCTTGTTTGAGCTCCTCAGCGGGACCCGCACTGGGCACCGCTGACTTTGTCTTTGCGCCGACGCTGACGAGGAACACACGGCAAACCCGGGGCTCCTCTGCCTAAACTCTTTGTGTCCGCGAGGACGCCGCTTGCGTGCGTTGGCGCTGGGTCCAGCGTAGGGAGCGCACCGGAGGGTCAGGGTAGAGAGCCCCGGGGATCTAGAGGTTCGGACAGTATCTTGCCTGGTGCTGCCGGATGGAGGGAGAGAGGGAGGTGAAGAGACAGAAGTGCAGAAGTGTGGGCCGCTGGAGTTCCGGGACCCCGCCCCCCTCCCCAAGCTAGAGTTTCCGTAACCAAGGCAGAAAACGCCCAGAGCCGCTGCGTTTTCGTTTAAGAGCAAAAATCCCGTAAAGGCTTGGAAATACTTGAGAAATGCGCTTTGTTGCTTTAAAACATTTTGAACGAGGTTGGGTGAGGTTTTTTTTTTAATGACATAAATTAACTTCAGCTGGATATTTTCCATTATTCGACCCGCTTTTTGCGCTGGTTAAAAATAATCCTTTAGTAGCTCAAATGTTGACTTACTGAGCAATAAGTGGCAATTTACACCTTAAAGAAACGAGTATAAATCACTCGCAGCTCTAATTGCTGTAAGTTTACGAAAGAACTGCTGGCTCGGTTTAATCTGAAGCATTTTCATTCAAATTGTCATCGGAACAAACACCAGGCTTCTTAAATCCCGCTGTAATTAGCTTTCAAGTATCCTATTAAACCTCTTCACCTTTCGGCCTATCCAATTCAAAAAGCCTCCTTTTAAAAATATATATGTGTCTTGCTCTTTTAATTGAGGCTATTAAAGAAATCAAGTTTCTACCCCCACCCTCTCCTCAAATCCTCTTTTCTTCTCTCCCACTCCACCCCACCCCCATGCACCCCCTTTACCCCGGTGATCCCCGCTCCGCTGTGATTGACGTCTAAAAGAAAATGCTTTGTGCCGGGATGATTGTTATTAACTTGTTATCCCCGGTAGGGGGGCGGGGAACCGACGTGCGCCGGTGAGCGCTGGCGACCCGAAGCCCCGAGAGCGCGGCAGCACGCGGGGCGAGCCCTTGGTGCTCCCGTGGCCGCCTCGCCGCGCGCTACGGCTGCGCCGCCGCCGCCCGTGGACCTCAAGGGAGGCTGCGTCGCCGTCCGCTCGCACGCCGCGCCGGGACCCAGACGCCCAGACGGCTGCACGCGCGGCCCGCCGCGCTGGGGGCCTTCATTAAAGCGCCCCGCGTGCGGAGGAGCCGAGGCTCTGGGCCGCACGTGCGGGCTCTGAACTTCTTGCCTCTGTTTCTTCCCACTTCCCCGCCCTCACCCGCTCAGTGCCTGGGGCTCATGTCGGAGGAGTGCGGGCGGCCTGCAGCCCTGGCGGCGGGAGGACTCGGAA